GGTCGTGTACTAGCTGCTTGGACGCTGCGGGCACGGCGACGCTGGAGGCCGGGCAGTTTCTCGACCGCTTTGCCAAGCCGGCGCTGGTCGACGAGCGCGACGAAGACGTGCGTCGCGCCAGCTCACCGTTGGGCCATGCACTGGACCTCCTCACGGGTACGCACCTCTACCGCCTCCTGGAGTTTTGCGCCAAGGTGGCGCCCACGAACGAGCGGCTGCGCGAGAGCGTGCGGTGGCACCTCGTGCCCTACGTCCACGACGTCCACCCGACGCGGGGTGTCGCGCTCGAGTCGCACCGCATGTGCATGGTGCTACTGCTGCTGGAGGATGCGGTCGCGCGCCGCCAGGTTCTCAGCAGCCATTTTGCCAAGGCGACCGTCGTGGCGTGCGACGCGTTCTGGGCCACGTACGCGGCGACGTTTGGCGCGTCGGTTGCCGTCGCCGCGCAGGCGTCCATGGCCAAGTAGAGGCAAAGATCGTGGATTACACATATATATGTATGTACCGCGTTAGATCTCTACGTGGGCCAACGACGACAATCCATGTCTACGTGCAACTTACTGCTGCTTGGGCTTGAACGACTCGGGGATGATCGGGCCGTCGTACTGGTCCGTGGGGTAGCCGAGGCTGCGGCGAAGGGGCACGACGATAAGGGGCATCGAGAGGCCGAGCGTGCCAAGGGCGAACGACGCGACGACCACGGGCTCGCGGTCCATGTAGTAGCGGAAGAATCGGCCGGCGGCGCTGATCATGCTTCCTCTTCGAACCGCTGGTTTTTGGAAAATGACTGGCGATTACTCTCCGGATGGTCGCCAATATTAATCGGCTTGCCTACCAGAGCCAAGGTACTTTAAAAACCGCCGCCTTATTCTCATTATCCGGTATATTCGGCATGCATTGTTCGATTCGGCACACACAACAGAACGAGGCAGCGAGAGATACAGAGAGATGGGCCGCAGGCTCCGGCAGCAGCCACCTCGGGCAGCGATGAGGCTGCTAGCAGAGACAAGGCAGGCTGGCAGCTCGGAGCGACGACGCTCGGCGGTCGATACGCATGGGGCCAAGGCTGGACTACCCACGCGAGATGCGGTACTGCGGCGCTGGATGGACACTGGCGCATGGAAACGGGACGCGATGGAATAGAGAGGTTACTACAAGCTAAATACGAAGGGCAAGAAGACGAGATGCTGCAATCAGTTGGCGTCGGGCACGGAGCGTTGGACAACGTTGAGCATGAGGTTCATGACGACGCCAACGACGATCCCAACCTTTTGACGACGCGGAATCGTGCGCTCCCATAGCTAGACGACGCATGCATGAGGTCACTACATATAGGAGGAAGGAACGTACGAGAAAGAGCATGAAGAAGCCGAGGATAAGGCCCATCGCGACGCCCCAGATCATGTCGACCTGCGTCCCTTCGTTGTCGCCACCCATAAGCGCGAGCTCCGGCATGTCGATGCGGTGCTGCGTATCAAAGTTGGCGCGGAGGGGCAAGCTACCCGGTCGCGGGCGAACGTTGAGGGCTACGATGAGGACCTGGCATGAGCCACATGCCTGATAAGAGAGACGAACCAAACTCGGACTGCGGACCCTGGGACGCCATCCACTCCTCCTCGACGCGGTAGATGCGATCTTCGGCCGTCTCTCCTACGTCAGCGGATCCTTCTCGTGAGCGAGTGAGGCTACAAGACGGCGATTTACCTTCGCGGGGCTCGGACTGGTTGATCATGGCCGATACTTGCGGGTAAAAATACAGGCGGAGCGCTTGCACTTCTTCGCGGCTCAATCGATCGCGCAAGCTGTCAAAGCCGCGGCGGCTCTGCGAGTCGGACGCGTCGTCTTCCTCTTGCTCTTGCATCTACTTGATCGTTCGCACCATTTTCCATGCTAAAGGAGAACGCAACCTGCTGGACGACGCATTTCGGTGGCGCCGCACTCATGGCGCAATGGATGAAGTCGTCTGTTTTGACGTGGCAGGCGAGAAGCGTGGCCGAGTCGTCCGAGAGCATCTTTCCCTAAATGCATGCCACGCGTCCGTGCGAGGTCGCCCGAGCATGGACAAACCTGGTGAATGAGGCGCAGGAACTTGCCCTCGGCGTTGGCCTTCTCCTTGATGACGCTCTTAAAGGCGCCAACGGTCGTCGAGGCCGGGAGCTCGATCGTCAGCGGCCTCTCCGAGAGCGTCTTGACGCGCAGCGTCAGCATCGCGTCGGGCGTCGCTTCGACGATCTGCACACCATCACCGCCTTCCATTAGTCTCCATCACATGGCCTCATGGGCGCGAGGAAGCGCGCATGCTGCCCGTACCAGAGGCTGCGTCTCGAGGTCGATCTCATCGCCGTAAGCGATCGCGCTGGCTTGCATCATGCTCGCCCGTTTGTTCTATTGCACCACCGTCGGCCCAAACTGCGATGGCATTCAAATACCAATCTTTTATTTATACTCTCTATTTGTATGGCGTATGTCGATTTTAATTCCTGCTTGCCGTCACGCTACCGAGCAAGCCAGTACGCAACCGATCTTCAAGGTACATTCAATTCAAAAGCACGTGATTACATAGTAAAACCAAGTCGGATTAAAATGTGGAGTAAAATCACATTCATCCAGGATCTGGATCCCATTCCACGCAGCCACGCAGGTGGCACGGCCAACGCCGCCAGCTTACGTCGCCGCCGATCATGGCCGCGCTGGAGCAACCCGCGCCTGACGTCGAGGCATGGATGTGCATGCTCTCGGTCTGTAGGCATAGGCGACTTGCTCGATGCTTCTGCAGAGGACTTGGCAGGCTCGCTCCACTGCATCCGTGACCTATCGGTGACCATTACAGAACACTCGGTTCGACGGAACGAATGATGATGGCCTTGCCAGCAACCCGAGCTGGCGCGCTCCGGCTACACGGGGCTACTTGCTGGAGGCCCTCGAGACAGAGGCTTGAGCCAGCACGAATCTGCTGGTGGCGAACAACACGTCAGGCCTTGTACTTGTATCTCTTATTGCATTCGACAGCATCTAATAGCTCTAGTGCTATGTTGGATTAGTCGAGGTGCATGGGCTGCATCTCAAGCGTATGGTCATGGAAACGCGCGAGCACGTCGCGGAGCGATGCGCCATCGATTTGACGGTGCACAAGGAAGCGGCGATGTTGCATGTCGAGGAGGATGGCACGCGGCTGATCACCACAAGTGTCCTCTTCCAGGCCGGCCATCTCATGGACCTTGACGCGGAGCCAATCATCCTTGGTCGTGCTCACAAAGAAGAGCATGCTTGGGCCGTCCGTGTCGTGACTGCAGCCGTGGTCGCTGCACGCCGGTTGGTGCGGCTCCGCTTCCGCTGCGAGGATCGACACCTCGGCCTTATGCGCCGCCAGCGCGTCGGCCTCGAGCATGTTGCAAAACGTTACGAGCGTTGGCTTGCTGGTGAGCGCATACCCGTTCGCGGACGGTCCAAAGCGGAGGTCCACGACGCTGTGGGCTGGCCACGGAAACGCACTCTTGCTTGCAATGGCCCCGATCGCATCCTTGTTGATGACCGGACGGTCGGGTCCGGGCCCGAGCACGAGTGCGGCCGGAAGGCTCTCGACGTTGTACGCATCGGCGAGCTCGGTCAACGCCGATGCCGCCACGTCATACGGCAGAGCTCGCCACGGCATGGACGCCACCATTGCATCGTACTCTTCCCGTGTGTCGTCGGCCGAGATGTAGAGGACGTCAAGAAGGCTGCTGTTCTTGGAGACTGCGTACGTCGCTGCGAGGTGCGTCATAAAGTCGTCCGTCGGTGCTTTGGCCGTCGCCGCGGCGAAGTAGAGCACGAGCGTCTTGTGTTGCATCGATTCCAGCAGAAGCGCTTCGGTGTGCCCATCGTTGCCAACGACGTCGCTGCCAAGCATGTCCTGTAGGGTCTTGGGCGCGTACGGGAAGGCGAGACCTTGCGGGTCGACCCACACCTTGTCTTGCACGTTGGCATTGATCGTCGCACCGGTCGGATCGAGCACGACTAATGTCGGCGTGCCGTGGACGTGGTAGCGCTGGGCGAGCGAGGCCTTGCGCGCCGTGTCGAGGAAGGGCACGGCGAGCCACGGCATCGCGTCAAACGCTTCGTTCGCCGTCGCGTCGTCGCTGTCACCGCTCACGTAAACAATCTCAAGCTCCAGCTGTGCGTGCGGTCGCGTGTAGTAGTCGACCAAGGACGGCGTGAAGGCACGACACGACGCACATGCCTGCGCGCCAAAGTAGAGCAGGACTGTCTTCTTCTCGAGCGCACTCGCCGTCGCAACAGACTCTTTCATGCGCGGCACCGGCTTGCTGGGAATCGGCGCCTCGGTAAACGTGCGCTCGGGCGTCGACGCGGCGGCGTGGCAGGCGCGGCACACGTCAAAGTTGTCGTCTTGGTCGCAGGCGTAGCGAGCGCCGACGATCTTCTCGCCGCAGATATCGCACACGTGGCGCCACTCGTACGTCGCTTCATACGCCGCTTGGTCGACGACAATGTCGGTACGCGGCGCGCCGTTGCGCAAGAGCGTGGGGCCGACAAGGTCGACGAGCGTCGAGGCCATCGTGCTGCAAGATGGTGTTGTGCGCAGCGATTGGCGGAAACTCCCGCGCACGTAAACTGCCTTTGGATTGGTAAATAAGCCAGTATTTATAGCGAATCCGACGCGTGCTATGGAAAGCATCGTTGCGGATTGGTTGAAAGCTAAGATTTTGGCGCGCGATCTACTCGGAACTGCGATCGTCACTGGAGCTCGCACGGGATGTTTGGCTTCGAGCTCGCGATATACCGATGGCTAAGCGGCGTTGTTGCAGACGGTCCACCATTATGCAGAATGCTCGATGGACGATCCGCACCTCGTTTGTCCTGTCTACAGGTGCCTTCCAGTGAGCTTTATCATGTTGACCTGTCGTACGATGGCACGAACTTCCAACGTCACAACTCGATTCGTTCTGCCATGTATATTCGATCCTCGACGACAACCAAAGCGACCAGTGAAGGTGCGCTCGTCGTCTCGATCACGGAGCTTCTTGTCGCATGCAATCAGCTCCTGCAATCAGCCCATGCAGCGCTGGACAAGGCCGAGAGTACCCACAGAACCGCGCAGCAGGTGTCGGCACAGTGCTCGCAAGACTCGAAAACCGCCCGCCGAGAGCTCGAGCTCGAGCGTGACACGGCTCAGCACCTGTTCCAGGTCCTGTACATAGAGGCCTTGCAAAAGACTGCAGCTCAGGACATCGAGCTGGCCAAGCTACGTCCCCACCAGGAGGGCAATACGACGCTGGCAGCGCGCGTTGCGAGCCTTGAAGCGGAGCTACGTGATGCGGCGCTAGGTTTGCAGCAGCAAGCGGATGCCAAAAAGTCGAGTCTCGCGTCGCTCAAGTCGAGTCTCGCATCGCTCAAGTCGGAGCTCGAGAAGCTCATGCTCGACTAGGAGCTTGCAGTGGCCAACACGATCGCCAAGCTCAAGCAGAAGCAGAAGGCGCTCAAGGTCGCGCACAAGAAGATAAAAACGCTCGAAGCCGAGAACGCCAAGCTCAAGTGCACGATTGCCAAGGGCGGTTCCCAGCCCCCGCGCATCAAGGGCGGCATGAGTATCCCGTCAGTTTTCAAGAGCTTCTACGGCAACAAGGGCAAATCAGCGACGACGGCGACCAACGGCAAGACGGTCACCAACGGCACGTCGCGGCCGGGGCTCAACCGCGTCGAGAGCAAGGCCCGCGTCATTACGAGCAACTTGCCGCCGCAGGAGTCGTTCAACCTGGACTCGCTCCCGGAGGCGCCGCTGCCGATGGGCTGGGAAGCCAAGGTCTCGCGCAACAACGGCAAGGTGTACTACGTCAACAAGTCACTCAAGCTCACGCAGTGGGACCGTCCGACGATCGAGACGCTCAAGCTCATGAAGCAAAAGAAGGCGCAGGAGACGACGGCGGCGGCGGCGACACCCGCGGCGCCCGTCGTTTCGACAACAACAGAGTAGAAGATGAAGGAAGAAGGACGTCGTATGTAGGTATTATATTGAGTCTGTTGGGAATGCAAGAGATATTCGGGTTACGTGATTGCGTCTTTTTAGAATTATCAAGTTGATAGAGAACATACCGCGCCGTCTGACAGCCTCGTCTTGTTGTGCGATGCAGCTCCACAAACTGAAACCGTTGAAATGAGCTCACTAACAACACCAAGGACGTGGGGTGGGCGGGCCGTGCAGTACGTAGTAGCACGCATGCCAAGTTTGGAGACTCGTTCACATCGCCTTTTCAGTGTCACCGCCGGAATCCACGGATGTCACTTTCGGAGGGCAGTGACCTCAATAGACGAGCCGCACTTCAACTGTCCTGTCGGGCTGCTTTCACGAAACAATCAGCATATTGACCTGTCCAACGATGGTGCGCGCCTCCCACGTCACAACTATTTTTGTTCTCCGATGCCCACTAGCTCCTCGACGACGACGACTGCAGCGACCCGTGGTGGCACACCCGCCATCTTATCACAGTACCTTGTCGCTGCCTACAAAGAGCTCCTGTCTGCGGCCCATACCAAGTTCTTTGAGGCCGAGAGTGCCCACACAACCGCGCAGCAGCAGTTGGCGCAGCGGTTGCTCGACTCGGAGGCTGCCCGCCGAGTGCTCGAGCGTGAGCGCGACGGTGCACAGCACCGGTATCAGCTTGAACGTACACTGTACGTAAAGGCAGTGGAAGACATGGCCGCGCAAAATGTCGAGATGGCCAAGCTGTGCCGCGGCCACGAAGAGATGACGGCGCTGGCAGCACGCGTTTCGAGCCTCGAAGGGGAGCTACGCGCAGCGACACTGGCGTCGCAGCAGAAAACAAGTGCGCTTGAGATCACGTTGGCCAAACTTCTCGACGACAATATCGTCCGAACGGCCTTGAAGGACATGAACGACGACATGCTTTCGCAGATCTCGGCGCTGGAGCAGCAAGTGCTCGCGATGGAAGCACGCCACTCACAAGACAACTTTGCCACTTTGAAAGCGGTCCTGGGGCTGGACATGACTGATGGAGAACTTCAGACCAAGGTTCATGTGATGTCGTCCGAAATGGCGGCTATGCGCTATGAGCTGGTCAAGCTCACGTCCAAGCAAGCTCTACGCGACGGGAACCAGCGTCGTTCCAAGTGAGAGACAGCATTCGTGCACCTTGAAAAACGCCCTCTACGAGGTAATTTTACTGGACAAAGAAGACATTTCATGTTGTATTCCCATCAAAACATCCATAGTGTCAGCCAGTTATCGACTCTATGAATACATATCCCATTTCAAGTGTGTAGCTAGACCACTAGGTCGTAGATACATGGTTGAGTTTGCCTTTTACGACAGTTACGAAACCACCAAAAGAAAAGACAACTTGTCCATTACTACATATCAAATCGCAAGCATTGCACTATACAGCCGGCACCGTTGGCTCAGAACGAGAGCGCTTTCATGTCGAGGGCCTTGTCCTGGAACTGCTGGAGCGTCTTTCGGAGCGCGTCGACGTTCAAACCGTCGTGCACATACGCACTGCCGCCGCGAACGTCGAGGAGGATCGCGTACGGACCCGTGACGTCGTCGTCCTTGACACCGGCAATGTCCCGGACGCGGTCGCCGAGGCCACCGGCGGTCTTGACCGTGAAGAAGACGACACTCGGTTCGTCCTGCACCGTGCAGACGTCGCCGGTGCAGACGGTGCCACGACCGCACTCGGCCGCGAGCGTCTTCATGTCGGCTTCGTGCTGCACGAGGTCGTCGCCCTCGAGCGTGTGGCAGTACGAGACGAGCGACGGCTTGTCGTTGATCGAGAATCCGTTCGAAGACGTGCTCACATGGAGGTCCACGACGCTCATGGGCGGCCACGGAACGCGCTGTTGTCCGTGTCGCTCGTAATCGCTGCGACCGCGTTCTTGTTGATGACGGCCCGCGTCGGTCCTTGGTTGACGCCCAGCACGACGACCTGCGGAATCGTCTCGAGCTCGTAGAGTTCGGCAAAGTCTGTGAACGCCGTCTTGGCTGCGTCAAAGGGCACGGCGAGCCACGGCATGGCCGAGAGCTTGTCGTCAAACACGTTCTGGCTCTCGTCGCACGAGAGATAGAGCACCTCGAGCTCGTGGCCATGCGCCTTGGCGCTCTCGTAGGCGTCCACGAGGCGCAGCGTGAACGCGTCGCAGTCCTCGACCGCCGCCGTCGCAAAGTACAAGAGCAGCACCTTTCCCTTGAGGTCGCCAGCACCAAAGACGGCGCCGTCACGGTTGACGAAGCGGTCGCCGAGCATTTGGCGGAACGTCTTGGGCACATACGGGAAGGCGAGGCCGTCCGGGTCGGACGAGATCTTGCCGCGCGCGTTGGTCGTGATAACAGCACCCTCTTCGTCGAGCACGACCAGCGTCGGGATGCCCTGCACGTTGAACTTGGTGCTCAGCGCCTCCTTACGGTCGCGCTCGGCGTACGGCAGCGCGAGCCACGGCATCGAGCCAAAGTACTCTGCGAACGCCTCGTCGTCCGAGTCGGAGCTGACAAAGACGATTTCAAAGTTGAGCTGCTTTTGCAGCTTGGTGTAGTACGTGGCGAGCGTCGGCGTGAAGCCGCGGCACGGACCGCACCAGTGCGCGCTAAAGTACAGCAGCACCTTCTTGCCAGCGAGGATCTCGGCCGTGGCGACAGCAGTCGACGAGTGCGGCGCGACCTTGTCCGGGATCGGCGCCTCGGTGAACGTGCACTCGGGCTTGAGCGTCGCCGCCTCGTGGATGCACTTGCTGCACAGATCAAAGTTGGCGTCCTGGTCGCAGCCAAAGCGCTTGCCGACGATTTGGTCCTCGCAGCCGTCGCAGCCGTGGGGCCACTCGAACGCCGCCTTGTACGCGTCTTGGTCGATGGCCACATCGGTGCGCGGCGGTCCGCTCTGGAGCAGCGTCGGTCCGAGGAGGTCCAGAAAGGCAGAGGTCATGCTGATGCTGGTCAAGGGGCAAAGGCAAAGTGAGCGTGGTTGCCGAGATGTTGAGCGACGGGATTGGTTGAACTCGAATCTGGGGGATGGCCGTTGGGTTGTGGCCAATCACATGGCCGCAAGACGGCGTGCGCGCGTTTGATTGGTCGCTGTCGGAGCCGCTGAATGGTGGTCGTTGATATGCTCCACGAATCCCTGGAAGGTTGATACTCGATACGGGTCGCTTCATGTAGCCAGGGGCCCTCGGTACAGCAAGTTTAGCAATATGTGACTATGGTTTTATAGAAGCTCCTTGATAGTTTTGTCGAAGAAGAGCGTGACGTTGCACAGAGCTGCGACGCGACTGCGTGCTTTTCTCGAACCATTCTTCGAGCGGACGTTCATTCCGCTGCACGTTTGCCTCCTCCACCCGAGCAGCTGCGTCTTTGACATTGGGACTGAGCTCAATCCCCCGCAAGGAATCCACACAGAAGACGGCAATGCTTAGGGGTGAAATTTAATGTCGACGTAGCGCGCCGAGCTCTTTTGCTTTTGGTGCAGCGACTTGGCGTCCGTCGCGAGCGCAAACTGGTTGGTCGAGCTGCGTCGCTCGAGTGCGTGGGCGACGTCACGGGGCAAACCACGCTTGGACGACGTGGCGTGCTGCGCAGTCGACTACAATGTTCAGAGTACGCCACGCTCGTCCCGATCCTCGTAGAGCCACCTGGAGGTGCTGCATGGCTTCTTCGACGTGACGTGGCGGCACGAGCTTACGGTACGCCATCGAGCTCGCGACCTCGGCGTCCGTGGGTGGTTTGAGCGGCGTCTCAGCATCAGCTTCGTCATAGCTACACTTGTGTCTACTGCACGGTTATCATTTTGGTACATCGAATGTGGAAATGCGTAATTTGAATCAGGCGATTCGTTGCTGACTTGGTCCACTCTAGTTAATGTGGTGAATGGACAAACCAGCTCTGATACACACGCTCAAGATGTGTCGAGATGCGTTATTAGGCCCAAGATATGTCGTACTAGTACATAGTCCATTTCGGAATCTCTATTCTGGTTCCCGACTCCATCCAAAACGACGCCTGTCAAACAAACCCCACACGTGTGGTTTGACAGACCTCTACCAGTCTTGTCCGTTGAGCCCATCGCAGCAAAATACTCGAGCCGACACAACTCAATACAACAGACGTCGGCAATGCGTCTCTCGGTGCTCAAGGCGGCCCACAGCGCGACGCGCGACCGGTTGATAGCGACACAGACGGAGCTGCGTCGGCTGCAGCGCGAGATTGCTCTTGTCGAGTGCAAGACGCTGCCGCAAGTGCCCCAGTACAGGTTCGGCTCAAGTGCTGAGGTTACATCCCCGCACGAGGCGTACGCTGCCTTCCAAGAGCGCACGGAAGCAACTGCACGCTTCGCGGCCATGCAAGCCGTCGTGGCCCAGCTACAGCAGAACCAAGCCGCGCTCGAGAAAGATCATGGCGAGTTGAAGATGAAAGTAAACCGACTCTCGGCGGCGCTGGATCGACCGATCGCGTAGTTGCCTGATAGCGAATTAACCATTGTTCAATCTCTATAAGCGCAGCCAACTCGCTAATTCAATAATACACGTCATGGGTCATGTCTGAGGCTCACTGACACACCCTGCTCTTGTTTGAAAGTCATTTCCATTCGTGTGCACAGAGTCTTGCTCGCAAACCAACTGCTTTCCTGACCAGCAGAAGCCGTCGTTCTTGCTGCGCGGTCGCCCCACCTCGGCAGTCTGCAACGACCGAGGTACTGAGATACCCGGCACTATATCTTCCTGGATCGTCAAGGGATGCCGTCCGTATTTATCCTAGTGGAAAGTATCTTGCGACCGCAGCACGTCCTCGGTGTGTTCGTCATTGATGGTCGTTTCAACCAATCAAATCAGCGCTAGCAGCTGATTGGGCAAAACTCACGCGATTCGATCGCGGGAAGAGGCAGTCTTGGAACGCGTTACTAGCAGAATGACCTCGGACCCCACGCCATCGACCGACGCCGTCGCCGCCCTCGAAGCCGAGCTCGCGGCCCTCAAGCTCGCGTACGAGCAGCTCGAGGCCGAGAATGCGCAGCTCAAGGCCATCATTGCGCAGAGCGAGAAGGACAAGACGCTGCAGCCCGACGTGGCGACGGACGAGCCCGAGTCCGCAGCGTCGCAACTGAGCAACGCGCTCGGCCGCATCAAGAGCGCCGTGGTGTCCAAGACGCCGGCGGCGTTCCGGCGCAATGACTCTTCGTCGCCGCCTATCGAGACCGCGGCCGTTGAGCCTGCAGCGCCAGCGCCGACCGCGGAACCTGTCCGCCGCTCGTCGTTCCTTGGCTACGCTGTCGCGTCCATCAAAGGACGCTTGGGTCTTCCAGGCGTGGCCGCGGCCAACAAGAGCGATACGAACGATAGCGCGACCGACGCTGCGGACAGCACGACGGCCGGTGCAAGCGACGTGGCTCGCAGTACGAGTGACGCTGCCGACACGACGATTGTCGCCGCCGACACCGCAACTACCTCAGCTCACACGGCGACCGACGCTGCCGAAGACGCGACCAAGTCGACAAAGAAGAGCACAGAGGAAACTGTCGCTAGCTCAGTGGACATCGCCGAACCAACGCTCGACGCTGACAAGAGCGCCGACAATGACCAACCTGCGACCACGTCGGGTGCATCGAGCCAGCTGTAAGTCAGCCGCAGTCGTACGAGCTCGTCGGGCCAACCAGCGGTAGACACCGTGTCGACTCACCCGAGCAACTAGCAACGACTAATCGAAAAAATTGCGTGTACTTTATTAACAAAAGCGAGTCGTTGCCAGACCGGACACAAACTACAAAGGAATTCAAGTCGCTGGACGAGAGACACAATGTACCCCTTACCAACGACCAGTGCTGCGCAGCAGCAGCGTCTGAGCCCTTCCGTTGGCGACGACGAAAACGAGTGGCGTCGCATTACCCATACCTTATCGAACATACGTCGAGGCTTGAGAGCGCGATAACGTGCACACAAGATTCTCAAGCAATGTTATACATTCATATAGCCTTGACCATAGTGATTGATCCTTGTAGTCCGACAAATGTGACACCATCAGGCTACCACGCCAAGCCAAGCAGACCACCATTCAACGTGGAGAGGGCGATCCCACGGCATCGCACAGGATCTCGATAAAGCAACCAGACCAACCTGCGGTACCTTGAATTCGGCGCCCATGGAGTGGCTTTTCAAATCTCAAGATGGCGACCATGGGTGGCGACAATCTTCCTGCATTGAGCTGGCAGCTAGTTTTGCTGTGTTGATTAACGCGAATAAACGTCATATCTATCGATCAAGAGACTTCATAGATAGATATGGCGTTTATTCACAGGCTCGATGTGATTTTTGGGCAAAAGCAGCGACCATGAGCTCACACACACTCGAGGGTCTCTACATACATGGCGACTTGGCAACCCAATGCAAGGTTGACTTATCTTGTTGCTTGGAGATAGCAGAGAATAACGAACGCTACTGGGTCGGGCCCGACGTGCCGGTGGCATCTCCAGACCACACGCTGCATTGGAGATGAGCTTGCTCGGACTGGACACCAGAGCCACACAACTCATGGCAACAATGGACAAGCGCTGAAAAGCACGAATGATGTTGGGGTTGTGACGCTGGTTGTGACCAATCCGTGATGAGATTGCAATTTCCGGTCCGAGAAAACCTACAGAACAACCAACGCTATGGCGAGTACTCGTACGGCGCAGGAGCAACCGCCGCCGACCGAAGCCCGCGACGACGCAACGATGGCGACGGCTTTGCGGGACGTCGTCGAACGAATGTGGTTCCTGCCGCCTGGTTGGCAAGAGCTATTGTATGACGCCTTTGGTGGGCTGCCTCAGCTGCCGTCTGGCTGGCAAGTCAAAGTGAGCCGGGAGCACGGCTTGCCCTACTACGCCAACAAGGAGCTGCGCCACACGCAGTGGTACCATCCAGGACTACACGGCGACGCATCCATTCCTCGAGAGATCTCTGGCTTGAAGCGCGCGTGGCGTCAGCTGCAAGAAGAACGCGAGCAACGTGCTGCCGCCCAAGTAGCGCAGCGCCAAGCAGCAGCAGACGCTGCGCGCCGGGCGATCCTGGATCGACTGGAAGACCTCGAGGGACCCACGGCCTTGTACGCCAAGGTGCGCAATGTCCAGGCTATCCTGCGGGGTTTCGTCCAGCGACGCATATACCAACGCCAGCACCGCGCAACCCGCATTCTCCAGGCCAGCGTGCGCCATTTCTTGCTGTCGGGCAATATCCGACGCATCAATTGCGTGCCCACCGTGCAAGCCCCACGTGTGCCAGGTAGTCTCGGACGCTTCGTCTGGTGGAGACTATATTCAAGGCTAGGTTAGGGAGCTTGTCCGTGTGAATCAACACCGCCATCCCCTCCATACTGTGCAGAGAGACTGGCGCATACATACTACTTGGCACAAAGCTTGTGTGTGTATGGAGCCGTGCCTGAACAAGCAGCCGCGATCGCCTCAACCACCATTGTTCCATGCTCGTGGTGCTGAGTGTCGGTGCCAGAACTATTCACATCCTCTCGTCTCACGGAATGGCGAGCGGACGACGTGACCTTGTCGGGCTGGTGTACATACACATCGCTTTCCCATCCCTCGTTCCCACTGCTTCCCTCGCTCCCGCGTTTCCTTCTCACTTTTCGCATGCGCGATGGCCTGTCTTGTCTTCAATCCAGAGGCAGCGTATAGAGACACTCGTATCGTCCATGACTGCAACGGCCTTCGCTTCCGCTTGCAGCACCTGGCAGCTCAACTTCCCGCCCAACCACATTGCACTAGCTCACTGTTTTGAGGCTGGCGCGGTTTCCGCACCCAAGACAATCTGAGAAGACGCCATAGCTACTTCAATGCTTGCCTCGGCGGTTGCAGAGCGCTGCTGTAGGGTACCCGTGCATCTGGTCGCGCGCCGATGTCGCCACTCCAGCAGCACTCGATTTGTGTCAATGACCTCGATTTCAGCCAATCACAGAAGAGGACGCAGCGGATTGGGCAAAACTAATATCACGCGAACGCAGGTGACAGACAAAATGACGACGGACGTCACACAGCAGCCAGCCCTCGAAGCCGAGCTCGCAGCCCTCAAGCTCGCGTACGCGCAGCTCGAGGCCAAGTCGGCGCAGCTCGAAGCCGAGAACGCGCAGCTAAAGGACGCCCTCGCACGCAGCGAGAAGGACGACAAGCCACAGCTCGACTCGCTCACGGACGAGCCCGACCTTACGCCGGCGTCGCACCTGAGCACTGCGCTGGGCCGCCTCAAGACCGCCGTGGCGTCCAAGGCGCCGACGGCTTTTCGCCGCTACGAGTCGCCGGTTGAGGGCGCGCCGACCGAGACGACGTCAGCACGGCGGTCAGACCCAGGCAGCACCGACACGACGCCGCGAACATCCTTGCTCGGGTACGCCGTAGCATCCATCAAAGGTCGCATTGGTCGCCCGGGCGCGGCGAGAAGCGGCAGCGTCGACGCAGCCGACGCGTCGTCGGACGACCCGACGTTGCCCAAAGGCTGGGAGGCCAAGGTGAGCCGCTCCAACGACAAGACGTACTACATCAACCGGTCGCTCAAGATCACGCAATGGGAGCACCCGAGCACGATGGTGGTCATGCCGGCGACAGGAACGAAATCCACGGACGAAACAAACCTCGACTACAAGAGCTGCGACAGCCCGGCAGAAACCGAGCCCGCGGACGAGTGGCCGCCGCTCGCGCCCGGCTGGCTCGTCAAGGTGAGTCGCAGCGGCGGCCGCACGTATTACGTCAACCCTGAGCTCAAGCTCACGACTTGGGAGCGACCGACGGCGTCGGCTTCGTAAGCGGCGGTCGATGGCGCTGCTCGCCCTCGTTCGCCTGTGCAAAGCCCGGTGCTGCATGGGTACCTGGTTCAATGTGAATGTCAATGCAGTTTTACGCGGAATACTACCTCATTTTTACCGCAAAAAACTCGATATGTGAATGTGCATGTAAATGGCGTCGTATAAGCCATTGCACAACCTGTCGTGCCTGAGTGGAGAGGAACGTCAGGTTCGCGCACTTGGGAACCGTTACGCTTGCCGCTTGCAACTGCCACAAACTTTCAAGCATGCTGCGACTCTTCTCCAAGCGGGCGACCGACGCGCCGCCGGCGTCGCTCGAGGACGCGACCGACTTTCCCGCGCTCGCCGCGCAGCTCTCGGTGGTCGAAGGTACGGCCCGCATGCGATTCCTTGGCACACGCTATCGTGGTAGATCGCCTGCGGACGACGAGCTCGCTCCTCGTGCGCCACAGCCAAGCGCTCGCGGGTGCCGCCGCTCGCACCGCCATCACTTCATGCGACGTCTGTGGCTAGAGCTCATGCAGACATCGACCGAGCTGCGCGCGCTGCTCATACCACCGGCCAACGACGACGACGACGTACATGGCTTCCATGCGCATCTGTGACCATGTGGATCTTGCTAGACGACGTCGTTGTCCGAGCAAAGACGTTGGCAGACAGCGTCGCGCAGTTCCGCACCACGGCCATTGCGCCGCTGCAATCGCTCCTGGGCTCGTTTCCGCACCTCCGCGTACGCTGCCGTGCGATTCTGAGAGCTAACGCCTGCCGTAGCATCGCATGGACCACCGCAAGAGTGCACTCGCCACCACCCAGCGGTACGAAGCCAAGGTGCGCGACATGCACGGCGAGTCGGCGCGGCTCCAGCGGGTCACGAGCCTCTTTTGTGCAGAATGGTTGGATGCACGCGTGGTGTAGAACCGGGCCAAGCTACACGCTGCTCAAGAGCGCTTTCAGCAGCTCGATGCTGACGTGCGCGACCAAGTCAAGTCGCTTCTAGCTCTGGACGTTCGCGCTGTCGTCGAGCCGCCGCTGCTTCAAGTAGAGCTTCGTTTCCATCTCGCCATGTAGCCATTTTATGCATGTAGCTGGCCGAGTCCCAGCAGCAGTGGGCAACAGCACTGCAGCACGGCTCGCAGCAGTTGCGCAGTCGCATTCAACTAGCGTCGCCACGGATCCTGCCCAAGGCCCGGTCGCTGGACCCACAAGGTGCACATCGACGCAAGACCCATGCCAGACTACCTCGTTTTTGTAGACGACACGGACACGGAAGAAAGTTGCGACAAAGTCGGCTCGTTCCAGCGCCATGGCTCGGACGATCTAGACATCCTCGACAAGAGTCGCGCGATGCGACCCAAGCACCAACATGCATACGGTACCAAGACGTGGGAGATGCACAAGCACATCAAAGCGTCATTGGCGAGTGGCCTCGATGTACTGGAAGCGGTGCAGCTGCCGCCCGGGTTCGCCAAGCTCGAGTGGATCGCCGTCCACGTCGTGGATTTCTTCAACGAAGTGTCGCTGCTCTACGGCACGATTTCGGAGCTGTGCACGCCGAGTTCGTGCGCGGCCATGACGGCCGGGCCGTGCTACACGTACCTCTGGGCCGACGACGGCGGCGTCCCGACGGCGTGCAGTGCCAGCGCCTATGTCGACAAGCTCCTTCGCTGGGTCGAAGTCCAGATCGAGAACCCGACTCTCTTTCCTTCCGGAACGCTGGCGCCGCCAAGCAGCATGGAAACGAGCGCGCGCAACATTCTCAAGCGGCTCTTTCGAGTCTACGCGCACATTTACCACTCGCACCTGGCCGACTTTGTCGCGCTCCACGCCGAGTCGCACCTCAACTTTAGCTTCAAGCGCTTCGTTTTCTTTGTGCTCGAATTCGACCTCGTCGAGAAGAAGGAACTCAACGCGCTGCGAAAGCTCATTGCAACAATCGCGCCCGGCCGCCTCGACTAGGACGCCACCTTACCCGACACGCGTGACGTGGTCTTGATAGTACCAGCCACGCGACTTGATACAATGAAACTTGTGACTTGATACGCATGAGCATGCGATGCATGCCCCGACGCCCCAACCTCGCGTCGATCGTCCGCTCTCAGCGCCTAGCCTTTCATCAACGCCTGACGTTGGTGGCGCAGCGTCCACAAAACGGGCGATGATGTAGTGGCCTCGATGACCATATACTAGTATAGTGGGCTCGGATTTGTCTATCAGATCTGAATTACAGGGTGGTTAACACTCGACATTTGCTAGCTCAGCGCTGTACACGAGCCCGATGCGCAACGACAATTTATGTCCCGGGCTCAACAAAAGCGTCCCTTTTAGCCGCCCGAATTGGTGCTACGAAGAAGGACTGGTGGATGACGGCAGCAGGTCAGCAAGCGTTGCAATGAGGCTCGTCGCCGCCGGGCGTTCGCTCGGAATGAGGCGCCAGCACTCTTCGATTACGTGTCCGTAGCCACCGAGAGTGGACGGCAAGTGCGGACGGAGCCCGTGGGTAGCCTTGGCAATAAAGTCATCGGGGGCTACTCCCGCAAACGGGTTCGAGTGCGGGTTGGGGTACGGGCAGAAGAGCTCCCAGAGAAAGATGCCAAAGCTCCAAATGTCACTTGGGTACGTATATCTACTCGCTGTGTGTGGCCATACGCGTCTCCATACGCGCCTTACCCGTCACCCGAAAAGACCTCGGGGGCTGTGTACCCCGACGTCCCCATCGCGTCTGTGGCCTTGGACGCACCGAGGCGAATCGCGCTGCCAAAGTCACAAAGCTACCGGCGGAGTCGCCCTCGTATCCTGACGGCCTCTACTACCTTGGCTTCGGGTACACTCGTGCTATCTTCAATTGGCGCCACGAGGAGGACGTTGTGCAGCTATCACGAGGTTATAATACCACCGCATCGATCGCCAAGCGTGACGCACCTTGAGATCCCGATGCACGATGCGCTCTTCATGAAGGTACGCCAGCGCACAAGCGACCTGGAGAGCCAAGTACCCTTTCTATGAAAACATACCGTATTCAACGAAGTAAGTCACTGCTGGGATACCTGGACTGGTGTCACGAGTGCCCACGTTGGGCGGTCCCGGCTCGCATACAGACTATGTAGTACATGGAAGGTCGAATCTTCTTCAAGGTCCATCTCAAACAGTGAATTTCGTACCTGCCACCCGCCATGTACGCCGAGACGAACCCCAAGCGCGGTGAGAAGCGCACATATTGCAGCTCCAAAATGTTGGCGTGGCGCAGTGACAGCCATAGCTCGAGCTCGCGCCCAAAGGCGGCGACGACGGGGTACGGAGGCGCGCCGCCGATCTCTTCATACCGAAACTCTTTGAGAACGCGCTTGCCGTCGTCGAGACTGTAGACGGCGGCAGAGATGCCTTCGCCAATGACAGCGTCGTTGGCTTTTGAGATCGCTTCCGGCTCGATACGCTCGTCTGGCACCCGACTGCGAAGGGTTTCGAGAAGTGCGAGAACGTCGCTGACCTAAACATACGTACGCTAACCCTATGCCAATATCCCAAACGTACGGGGCGTCGAAGGGTGGGGGATGGCGCGAGTACGCTCGGAGGCCGAACGTCGACTTTGCGCAGCGCAGCTTTTGCGGTCGCCAGGTCGGCAAAGGGAAAGAGAGGGTTGCGCGGGGGCGGCGTCGGGGGCACGGTACCTTCGAGGAGGTACAGTAGCTTGATTCTGCCCGTGGGCTTCCCGCGTCGACTCCGCAGCTGCACGAAATCGCAGAAGCGGGTGCGCTGGATCGGGATCGATGCCTCGCCAACCACGAGCTCGTTGCCATTACAGCGATTCAGGACCCGCACCTCGAACGCACTCGGAAAGGACGCGTTCGAGAGCAAACGAAAGTCCACCCAGCCCATCGACCACATGGGCGACGTGGTCGGCGCATTGCAGGCTGTCGGCGTCGTGGCGACGGGGGCAGTGGGCACGACGATCTGCACATATGGGCGCAAGAGCCGACTGCAGACGTGGGGGCGCCGCCATCGGCACGGATCAACAACGTTGGCGCCATGCAAAATATGCACGCGAAGGCGCCACTGCGGGTGAGCGTTCACGTCCAACGCCGATGCTCCGTCGCTGTCGTAGTCCACGCCGTACAGCTCGGGGGTCAACGGCAGCACGACTTGCGCGAGGAACTTGGGGTGGCCGGGCAGCCGCTCCTTGCTGTGCGTCATGGCGAGCTTATGGTTGTGCAAGATGATGCCGATGTTGCCGGCGCGTTTCGATTCGTACACGGACGCGTTCCACGCAGGTTTGTGCGGCGACGGCAGCGTGTGGCACGGCGCGTTCCGCAAGTGACGAGCCTGTGTCATTGACGTTGGCACGCCCTTTTTCGTCGGCGACGGAAGGTACGGGCAGTCGTAGCCCGTGGTTTTGCCCCACGTTGCAATGAGCTGCGACACACCGTCTTGCTCGAGAATGCGGTGGATGCGGTGCGGGGAGCCCGACGTCTCTTTCAGCGCCGCTCGAGACCCGGTGTGGGCCGTCGCAGGTAGTTTCAAGAGCGGGCGCTACATCACGCGTCAAGACATGTGCGGAAATCATAGTTTACCTCGCGCAGCCACGCCTCTCGGCTCCTCGTCTCGTTGCTCTGCGCTGGCATCGCGCGCTGTGATTTGGACATTTCTCGAATCTAAATTGGCCCGAAACGGTTCAGAAACAAGTGCGAATGGCGGCCGAGGTCCCGATGGCGAGCGAGAGCGTCCTGGTCCTTGATGCAACCTCCGACTTGCTTTCGATCGCTCAGAGCGACAACCAAACGAGTCCACTGCCCAAGGAAGCGCCCGAACTGCCAAGTCTCGCAAAAGCGACGCCACCCCCGCCCCCCTCATAGACCTTTATCGCATACCAAACGAGGTCGAGACAACCAGTGTCAAGGCGGTGGCGTTGACCAAGGTCATGACGGTCGCAGTGCCAACCAAAGTGGATGCCACGGCCGATGCCGAGCCCACGGCGCCCGAAAAAACGAGTCCCAAGAAAAACCCCATCGATGTTGCCCCTGCACCGTCGGGGCCCTCCCGCAGCCGTCTCGACGATGCCACCGACGCATTGCGTAGCCTTCACTTCGACTCGTATTATGAAGACGACTCGGACGAGACGCCCCTGCTCGAGGCCAAAAGTGGTGCGACAGCATCACCTGTCTACAACGACGCTGCGTCCGAGTGGGTCGTCTGCCAAACCGAGGCAGGGTACGCGTACTACTACAACACACGGACCCACGCGTCGCAGTGGGAAGCACCGAGCACGGACGACAATGGCCGCGACGCCTTCTTTAGTGCGGTGACCGCGGGCGATGTGAACGCGGCGACGCGGCTGCTCTTGCGTCATGGGCGGCAACTGCTCGACGTATCAGACCACAACGGCCGCACCGCCGTGTGGTATGCCCTGGGGCACATAAGCATGGCGCAACTTCTCTTTGAGAGTGGTGCGAACTTGAATCTCACGGACGTGGACGCCAATGGCCTCGTGCACGTCGCGACGCGGCAGCGCAACGTTGCCTTTCTCGCGCTCCTCGCGGTCTACGGCGCGAACTTGGACCTCGTTGACGGTGCGCAGCAGACGGCGCTGCACATTGCCGCAGCCTCTGGGTACCAGCGCTGCGTGGACGTGCTACTGCGGCACGGCGCGACGCCTGACGTGCTCGACTCGGCCGCCCGCTCGCCACTGCAGCTAAGCACTTTAGGCAACCATGTGGCCTGCGTCCAGCTGCTTCAGAAAGCGTCGGCACAGCAAGCGCCGGTGGCCGACATGGCTCTCCTCACACAGGTGGTTTCTATAAACCGACGCTATATTGTCTTAGCGTTATTGTAGCGGGCGGCGCTGGAGCGCGAGGTGACCATGGCGCACGCGCAGTTCGATGAGGTTGGCATGTTGCTGCTGCTCGCAAGCGATATCCACTGGTCCGTACTAGCTGCAAGAACGCTACACGACGCTCGAGACAGCGCACCGCATCGCCAACGCCCGCATCGTCATGCTGGAAGCGGTCGTCGACCGCTGCGAGAAGGACCTCGATGCCGAGCGCGCGCTTTTGTGGCAAAAAGTGAATTGGATTTTTACAAATCTGCATCTCAAAAGACATAGGAACAAACGTTCAACGACGCCCAGCAAGCCCAGTACGCAACGCTCCAAGACCTCCAGCGCCAAGTCGACGACGTCGTTCAAGTCGCCGCGTACGTCGATGGGTCAGCGCTGCAGGAAAGGGCTCACACGCTTTTTCGTAGCCGCTCCCGTTTGGAGGTGACCACAATGGTCGAAAGCCACCTCCCAGTACGAGAGAGCGAGAGGTCCCTTTACGTCGAGGAAGGCGACGCGACGTCGTTGGGGCCATCCGACGCGATTGCCTGTACTTGCTTCTCTCCTTCATTCGAGCCAAAGCCCATGCGGGTATTTTGTCTAGTCGATCATGATGAGGACGACGTCAAGGACGACGAGGCACCGATTGCACCGGAGCGCGTGGGGGCCATCTGGAGTGCCTTCTTCAACAACGCTGCCAAAGCTCGTGTCCAAGACGACAATCCGTCCAATGTATTGGACGCGGTCTATGACGGCGACCTCGTCACGTTGCAGTCGCTCCTCGTGCACGGCGCGTCACCCGATCCGCGCAACGACGACGACCAGACGCCGCTGCACGTTGCGTACGACAATCGATATTGTCTGTCAATTGGTTGATGCATGCTGCATAATCGAGGTAGAAGCGCGCATGGTCGACTCGAATGCGTCTCGCTTCTTTGCGAGTACATGGCCGACATGGAGGCGCGGGATGCCCACGGTATGGACGCTCTTGGCTACAAAAGTTGATGGTGGAGGGTAGGCCACACGCCTTTATTCCTCGCGAGTCGTCGCGGGCACTTGAGCATTGTCAAGTTTCTTCTCGAGAGCGCGGCCGACGTTCGTACCGCCAACGACGATGGCCGAACACTCGTGCACGCCGCGGCGCTCAGCGGCTCCCTGCCCTGCCTCCATCTCGTGCTCGAGGTATGTCTCTGTCTCTCAACACGTTGCAAGAGCGCAAGTGTAGTACGGTGGCGACCCATTTGCGGCCGATCGCGACGGCGAAACACCGTACGAGATGCTGCTCGAGCGAGGCGACGAGACGGCAGCGCCGTTGCTCGACTACTTGGACAGCCAGTGCTCGCTTCGCCAGCCGCCCCGTCCAACCTCGCCGACCGTAGGCCGCCTGTTCATGCAGCCGCCAAAGATCATACGAACTATGCGACTAGGCGGCCGCGCCAGCGCAGCGCGCGGCTACGAGCAGCTATGACATGGACGAGGGGCATGAAGCACCTCGGGAAGGCTGGCGAGGCGTACGTACATTGCGGCGACCAACGATCGGTTCTTAGTTATCTACGGTAGTGGATTCGTGGCAAGGCCACATCGCTCTTAGGACTCGACAGAACAGCTGCAAGCGAAGACAATGACCAAGCGGCTGCCGAGGCGCCGCTCTCGCCGCTCAAACCACCCACTGACGCCGAGGTCGCGAGCTCGATGGCGTACCGTAAGCTCGTGCCGCCACGTCACGTCGAAGAAGCCATGCAGCACCTCCAGGTAGCTCTACGAGGATCGGGACGAGCGTGGCGTACTCTGAACATTGTAGTCGACTGCGCAGCACGCCACGTCGTCCAAGCGTGGTTTGCCCCGTGACGTCGCCCACGCACTCGAGCGACGCAGCTCGACCAACCAGTTTGCGCTCGCGACGGACGCCAAGTCGCTGCACCAAAAGCAAAAGAGCTCGGCGCGCTACGTCGACATAACATTTCACCCTTAAGCATTGCCGTCTTCTGTGTGGGTTCCTTGCAGGGGATTGAGCTCAGTCCCAATGTCAAAGACGCAGCTGCTCGGGTGGAGGAGGCAAACGTGCAGCGGAATGAACGTCCGCTCGAAGAATGGTTTGAGAAAAGCACGCTGTCGCGTCGCAGCTCTGTGCAACGTCACGCTCTTCTTCGACAAAACTATCAAGGAGCTTCTATAAAACCATAGTCACATATTGCTAAACTTGCTGTACCGAGGGCCCCTGGCTACATGAAGCGACCGGTATCGAGTATCAACCTTCCAGGGATTTATGGAGTATATCAACGACCACCATTCAGCGGCTCCGACAGCGACCAATCAAACGCGCGCACGCTGTCTAGCGGCCATGTGATTGGCCACAACCCAACGGCCATCCCCCAGATTCGTGTTCAACCAATCCCGTCGCTCGACATGTCGGCAGCAACCCACACGCTCACTTTGCCTTTGCCCCTTGACCAGCATCAGCATGACCTCTGCCTTTGTGGACCTCCTCGGACCGACGCTGCTCCAGAGCGGACCGCCGCGCACCGATGTGGCCATCGACCAAGACGCGTACAAGGCGGCGTTCGAGTGGCCCCACGGCTGCGACGGCTGCGAGGACCAAATCGTCGGCAAGCGCTTCAGCTGCGACCAGGACGCCAACTTTGATCTGTGCAGCAAGTGCATCCACGAGGCGGCGACGCTCAAGCCCGAGTGCACGTTCACCGAGGCGCCGATCCCGGACAAGGTCGCGCCGCACTCCTCGACTGTTGTCGCCACGGCCGAGATCCTCGCTGGCAAGAAGGTGCTGCTGTACTTTAGCGCGCACTGGTGCGGTCCGTGCCGCGGCTTTACGCCGACGCTCGCCACGTACTACACCAAGCTGCAAAAGCAGCTCAACTTTGAGATCGTCTTTGTCAGCTCCGACTCGGACGACGAGGCGTTCGCAGAGTACTTTGGCTCGATGCCGTGGCTCGCGCTGCCGTACACTGAGCGCGACCGTAAGGAGGCGCTGAGCACCAAGTTCAACGTGCAGGGCATCCCGACGCTGGTCGTGCTCGACGAAGATGGCGCTGTCATCACGACCAACGCGCGCGGCAAGATCTCGTCCGACCCGGACGGCCTCGCCTTCCCGTATGTGCCCAAGACGTTTCGCCAAATGCTCGGCGACCGCTTCATCAACCGTGACGGCGCCGTCTTTGGTGCTGGCGACCTCAAGGGAAAAGTGCTTCTTTTGTACTTTGCGACGGCGGCGGTCGAGAGCTGCGATGCGTTCACGCTGCGCCTCGCGGACGCCTACGAGAGCGCCAAGGCGCATGGCCACGAGCTCGAAGTGCTCTATCTCTCGTGCGACGAGAGCCAGAACGTGTTTGACGACCAGCTCTCGACCATGCCGTGGCTTGCCGTGCCCTTTGACACAGCCAAGACGGCGTTCACAGACTTTGCCGAACTCTACGAGCTCGAGACGATTCCGCAGGTCGTCGTGCTGGGCGTCAACCAAGGACCGACCCGGGCCGTCATCAACAAGAACGCGGTCGCAGCGATCACGAGCGACACGGACAACAGCGCGTTTCCGTGGCCGCCCATGAGCGTCGTGGACCTCCATGTGAGCACGTCTTCGAACGGATTCTCGATCAACGACAAGCCGTCGCTCGTCTCGTACTGCCACACGCTCGAAGGCGACGACCTCGCTCAGCACGAAGCCGACATGAAGACGCTCGCGGCCGAGTGCGGTCGTGGCACCGTCTGCACCGGCGACGTCTGCACGGTGCAGGACGAACCGAGTGTCGTCTTCTTCACGGTCAAGACCGCCGGTGGCCTCGGCGACCGCGTCCGGGACATTGCCGGTGTCAAGGACGACGACGTCACTGGTCCGTACGCGATCCTCCTCGACGTTCGCGGCGGCAGTGCGTATGTGCACGACGGTTTGAACGTCGACGCGCTCCGAAAGACGCTCCAGCAGTTCCAGGACAAGGCCCTCGACATGAAGCGCTCTCGTTCTGAGCCAACGGTGCCGGCTGTATAGTGCAATGCTTGCGATTTGATATGTAGTAATGGACAAGTTGTCTTTTCTTTTGGTGGTTTCGTAACTGTCGTAAAAGGCAAACTCAACCATGTATCTACGACCTAGTGGTCTAGCTACACACTTGAAATGGGATATGTATTCATAGAGTCGATAACTGGCTGACTCTATGGATGTTTTGATGGGAATACAACATGAAATGTCTTCTTTGTCCAGTGAAATTACCTCGTAGGAGGCGTTTTTCAAGGTGCACGAATGCTGTCTCTCACTTGGAACGACGCTGTTTCACGTCGCGTAGAGCTTGCTTGGACGTGAGCTTGACCAGCTCATAGCGCATAGCCGCCATTTCGGACGACATCACATGAACCTTGGTCCGAAGTTCTCCATCAGTCATGTCCAGCCCCAGGACCGCTTTCAAAGTGGCAAAGTTGTATTGCGAGTGGCGTGCTTCCATCGTGAGCACTTGCTGCTCCAGCGCCGAGAGCTGCGAAAGCATGTCGTCGTTCATGTCCTTCAAGGCCGTTCGGACGATATTGTCGTCGAGAAGTTTGGCCAACGTGATCTCGAGAGCGTTTGCTTTCTGCTGCGACGCCAGTGTCGCTGCGCGTAGCTCCCCTTCGAGGCTCGAAACGCGTGCTGCCAACGCAGTCGTCTCTTCGTGGCCGCGGCGCAGCTTGGCCATCTCGACATTTTGCGCGGCCATGTCTTCCACTGCCTTTACGTACAGTGTACGTTCAAGCTGATACCGGCGCTGCGCACCGTCGCGCTCACGCTCGAGCACTCGGCGGGCAGCCTCCGAGTCGAGCAACCGCTGCGCCAACTGCTGCTGCGCGGTTGTGTGGGCACTCTCGGCCTCAAAGAACTTGGTATGGGCCGCAGACAGGAGCTCTTTGTAGGCAGCGACAAGGTACTGTGATAAGATGGCGGGTGTGCCACCACTGGTCGGCGCCGAGGAAAAAGAAGTGTGCATCGGAGGACGAATCGAGTTGTGACGTAGGAAGCGCGCACCGTCGTTTGACAGGCCAATAGGATGGCTTCCAAGTCAGGTGACGGAATCTGACTGCAGAGACAGCGTGCTTGCTGATACCTTCGAACCATCAATGACGACAAACCAAAGGTGTATTTGGCACCGGTAACGCAAGTGAAAACCTAACCCGATTCAGTCGACGACGAGCAAGCTACGTGTGTACAAGATATGGACTTCTTCACATCAGTCCCCCGTGAGGTTGTACCGTTCGTTGGCCATGCAAATGATGGCGCGCCGATGCGAGCTGGCGACATGGCGTTCTATCGCTAAATATGGCAAACGCCACAAATTTTGACATGCACACCACATTTTACCAAACAAGATCTTTGACGGCGTGGTATCAACCACGCGCTCACACAAGCCCGTCTCCCTGGGGGAAGGTGCGGAGCCACTACTGCCCGCGGCGCATAGACAAGGCCATTGCCGAGCGCGACGCCAGCACGTCATCGCACCGGGCGGCGAAGATCGGCATGCCATCGACGTCCACACTGCGGCGAGGACCCATCGACGTAGGCCAAGAAGCTGCATCACGTGCACCCGAGCTGCCAGTCATCGCCGCCACCCGTCGTCGTTGGTTTGGCGCCCAACGATGTTGCAGTGGCCGACTGCGACGAGGGCGATGAACCAGGCATACAACCCAGCGGGACCGCAGCTTGGTAACTTGGTCGAGCGAGTGACCACCAACGAGCGGCAAAGGCTCCAGCCTAAGATTGCAACGTTGGCGGTGCATTATGCTGCCAACTGGTACGACGGTCTGTGTCCCCAGCCATCCGGCTGCGACGCAATCAAGCACGTCCTGGGCTTCCGACCGCGTACTCTCCCAAGCAGGTCGTGCGGCTGCGCAATCAAAGCCTCTGCGAGTGCTTGATGCTTGGCAAGATCGTCGGCGAGGCCAAGCTCGACATCACCTTCAACGAAGCCTACCTCTTGGCCGTGCAGGACGCAACAACGAGCTCGCCAACCACGCGCAAGGCGTCGGTAACGCGCCAGCCGCAGCGATCGTACGCGACCTCAGTCTGACGGAGAAGCCTTCTACGATCATGGCCTGGCTGCGCGAGTGCCTCGAGCTTGGCGGCTTCAAGCAAGACGGGCGCGGGATGCGGAAGCGCGACAACTAACTCTAACCAAGAGCTAGCAGAGTCAGACTTAGTGAGCTTATCTCAATGGTGCCGTAGTACTAGTTTGTGGAGTCGCATCGCACAAGAAGACGAGGCTGTCAGACGGCGCGGTATGCTCTCCATCAACTTGATAGATCGAAAAAGACGCAATCACGTAACCCGAATATCTCTTGCATTCCCAACAGACTCAATATAATACCTACATACGACGTCCTTCTTCCTTCATTTTCTACTCTGTTGTTGTCGAAACGACGGGCGCCGCGGGTGTCGCCGCCGCCGCCGTCGTCTCCTGCGCCTTCTTCTGCTTCATGAGCTTGAGCGTCTCGATCGTCGGACGGTCCCACTGCGTGAGCTTGAGCGACTTGTTGACGTAGTACACCTTGCCGTTGTTGCGCGAGACCTTGGCTTCCCAGCCCATCGGCAGCGGCGCCTCTGGAAGCGAGTCCAGGTTGAACGACTCCTGCGGCGGCAAGTTGCTCGTAATGACGCGGGCCTTGCTCTCGACGCGGTTGAGCCCCGGCCGCGACGTGCCGTTGGTGACCGTCTTGCCGTTGGTCGCCGTCGTCGCTGCCTCGTCCTTCTTTTCCTCGCCCTTGTTGCCGTAGAAGCTCTTGAAACCCGACGGGATACCCATGCCGCCCTTGATGCGGCTCATGGCGCCACTCACGCTCGAGGTCGACGCGGACGAGATCATGCCCAGCACCGAAGTGCGCGAGCCGCCGTCGCTCTCGACGTCCGTCTTGACCGTCGAGTCGTTGTAGTCCGAGTTGCGCTTCTCCGTGTCGGACGTCGCGTCGTCGGCGTGCGCCGGTGTAGCGTGTGCCGGCGTCGCGTTGCCCCAGAAGGCGGGGCGCTTGATGTTCTTGATGAGGCTGACAGCCGACCCGAGGTGGGACGAGCCCGTCGAGACATCCTTCTCGTCCGTGAGCGAGTCGAGCATGACGCCGCCTTCGGCCGCGCGCACGTCGGCCTCGGTGATCTTCTTGGCGCCGAGCGTGCGGAAGAGCTTGCGGCGCGCGGGCTTGGCGCTGGCGTCGTGGGCTGGGAACCCGCCCTTGGCAATCGTGTCCTTGAGCTTGGCGTTCTCGGCCTCGAGCGCTTCGATCTTCTTGTGCGCGACCTTGAGCGCTTCCTGCTCTTGCTTGAGCTTGACGATCGTGTTGGCCATCGCGAGCTCCTTGTCGAGCTTGAGCTTCTCGAGCTCCGACTTGAGCGACGCGAGGCTCGACTTCATCTCGTCGTTCTCCTTCTTGAAGATCGCGTTGGCGTCCTGGAGCGACCCAATCATATCGGCCGAGTCGGAAATAATCGCCTTGTCCGTCGACTTGGTCGTCGGCTGCGACTGCGCCTGCGCGAGCTGCGCGTTGCGCGCCTGCTCTTCGAGGAGACGCTGCTGCAGCATCTTGAGCTGGTACTGCATGTCGGCTTCCATCTTCTTTTCCTTGAGCGCGGCGAGGTATTTCGGGCGCTCGAGGTGCATACGCGCATACGCTTGGACGCGGATGATGAGGCGGCGCTTCTTCTTGTACGTGATGCGCTTGGCATACCCGAGAAGATGGCGCTGGATGATGACGGCGCAGTGGTTGCGCTTGACTTCGAGCGCCACCTTGCGGCCAAGAATGCCGCGGATGCGCGCCTGCGCCTTGACGAGGCCCTTGAGGAACGTGTTGTAGCGGTGCATCGCAAGCACGCAGCGGATGACCGACTGCAGCTTGACGATCGCGCGCAGCTGGCGCAGGTACTTGATGCGCTGCGTGAAGCCCTTCATGATCTTCTGGAGGAAGCGCGCCTTCTTGTCGAGGAACTTCTTGCGGCGGTCCTCGAGCTCTTCGAGCACGCCGAGCTGGAAGTAGATCTTGGTCCAGCCCATCTGGTACTGCGCCGGCGACGTGAGCTTGAGCTTGGTCATGAGCTGCTCGCACTTTTCGCGCGGGTTGCCCGGCCCCGCGGGGACGAAGAGGCGGAACTTGGCCAAGAACTCCTCGTGCGTCTGTCGGTTCGGGTACGCGGCGCGCGAGATGCGAATGGCTTCAATGACACCGGCGCACCGCAGCTGCGAGACAACCATCGCGTTCTCCATCGTCGTCGCGCTCTTGATCGAATTGGGCTTGATGCAACGCACGTACTGCACGTTGGTCGACTGGATCGTCGTCATGAGCTCCGTCAAGCTGTCCTTGAACTGCGACCCGACGGTCGAGATGTTGAGCGTGCCGCCGCGACGGCGACCGGCCGGCACCTCTTCCTTCTTTTCCTCGACGGCCTTTTCCTCAAAGAGCTTTTGGATGTACGTCGTGTCCGAGCCGCGCATGAGGTCCGAGAGATCCGGGAGCAAGTTATCCTTGTGCTTCTCGAGAAACCCGAGCGACTCGTACTTGACGGGCGCCGCGTAGTGCTTGATGATAAACTCGGTGCGCGACGTACGTGGAAACTCAATGACGCTGGGCTTGTACAAATCCTTGTTGATCGACGAGATCGTCGACATGAAGCCGGCCTCCGAGCCCTTGGTCTTCTTGAGCTCTTCGTTGAGGAGCGAGATGATACCAATGCGGTCTTCAATGACGTTGAGCACGTCTTGGTTGTCCGAGAACTCAATGTGTTCCCACTGGATGCCCTCTTCCTCGTACTCGATCTGGACCGTCTTGAACACGTCCGACGTGAACTTTTGCTGCAGCTTCTCGTTGGCGTAGTTGATGCAAAACTGCTCAAACGAGTTGAACTTGAAGTGCTCGAACCCAAAGATATCGAGCACGCCAATGTGGTTGGTCATCTTGGCATCGTTCGAGAGCGACAAGTTGATGAGCTCGACGAGCCAGTCAAAGACGCGCGAGTAGATGGCCTTGGCGAGCGCGTCCAAACACGCTTCCGCATCGCTCTAGCGTCGCAATATGAGATACCGCCGCCAAGATATCGAGATGATAGTACCTTCTTGAGCGGCACGCTGTACACGTCGTTGCGCGCCCGCATCGTACGCGAGCAGAGCGCCTTCTCGAGCGACTCCATCGTGAGGCCCATGAGCTGCGTGATGTACGTCGCCGAGACATCGCCGGGCGCGATCATGGACTTTTCGTCATCGGACGGGTCCGAGATGATCTGCAGGTTGCCGAGGTGCAAGATACCAGCAAGCGTCTTGTAGAGGTCGAGCTGCGCCGCCGCCGAGTAGCCAATGAGGCTGAGGCGCTCGGCCGTGACCATAAAGTGGTGTGCGTCCGACTTGCCTTCGATGAGCGCCGTGCTCTTCTCGCCAATGTACCGGTATGTAGCGTCCTGATCAAGGAAGAGCGTCTTGGCCATGTCCCCCGAGTCGATGAGCTACAACATACAATCTGAGTCCTTCGCATACATATCGTGCAAGCATCTACCTGGTAGAAAATGTGGTAGTTGCGCTCGGGAAACTCGTGGCCAATGACACGCGTCTTCTCGAGGAGGTACGTCTTACACTTGGCACCGACGAGCGTGCCCGCGCGGTCAAACTGGAGCTGGGTGAACTTGCCGAAGCGCGAACTGTTGTCGTTGCGGACCGTCTTGGCGTTACCAAAGTACTCGAGCAGCGGTGAGACTTGGATGATCTTCTTGATCGTGCCATCGTTCATGCCACCGGCGATCGTCGCGAGGTGGTTCATGAGAATCTTGGTCGTCTCCGTCTTACCAGCGCCCGACTCGCCACTGACGAGGATCGACTGGTTGCGGCTGTGCGTCTTCATGTTTTCGTACGACGCGACCGAGGTCGCGTACACGTGCGGCGGCAGCTCTTCGCGTGGGATGTTGAGGTACCGCACGTGCTGCTCTTCCGCATACAGCTCGGGCAGCCACTTGTACGGGTTGACCGCAATGCAGATCGTGCCCGTGTATGTGTATGGGAGCTCGCGCAAGAAGCGCTTCTTGACGTTGTACAAGATGGCGGCCTCATGGAGGTAGTTCAATGTGATCATGTCCTCAATTCCGTCGTCGCCGACGTTTTCGTTCTGGAACGGCAGCGTGTCGACGGTCTCCATGGCCTCGCCCTTGCCGCTCATGAGCGCGCGCGTCTTCTTGTCTTCGAGGTCGACGACGCGCTCCTCGACGTGGCCATCGACGGTCCAGACCTTGCATGTGATCTGCTTCGTGCCCGCCTTCTGCCCGACGACCTCGGCCGGCAGCCATACGTCGACCTCATCGGGCACGTAGCAGAGCGCCCCGGGAACCATCTCGAGCGACGACATCGTCTACTTGGTCGTCGGTCGATGCGGAGGCGGAGGAAGATGAGGCGGTTCCGGAGGTCCGCGCTCGAAAGTAAAGTGAGGCCCCAAAGCCCGTACACCCGATCCAAACATAGTACGTACCGTACATTACACTCAATGTACGGTAATGGACGGTCTTTCCATACAAAACGCAAGATACACTGTCGTCGCGACGGCGGGCGGACGTACGGCTTTGCAGTCAATGACACATTTTTATTCGGCTGTCGTATCTTGCCCCATGGCTAGGTTGAAAGGTATGGCCACAGTTTGCTTTTTTAAAATTGCACCGCGTCGTCAATGACACGGCGGGGTGTGGAGAATGTACGGCCGTACATGCTCTGGCATTGGTGGCGATGAAGCCAAAGGCAGCCGCGCGGCCAAGTTGAACTTCTTTTCCTCACAACGCATGTGGCACCCAAGAGGCGAGCGAGCGAGGTAGACACGACGATACATGCATGTGCAGGCGTGCAAATGCGATGCTGGCGCCAAGAAGAGACGACCGACGACCAGCTGGAGACACAACGCGGCGTGCGACACGCCTTGTACACGCGGCAATTGCCGCCACGCAGAAGAGCACATGAAGGAAGAGGCCAAGGTAGAGACGGGGAGGTCGCACTGGTCCAGGATCGCGCGGCCTTGCGTGGTTGGGTTGTGGTAGACACCAGCTGATACTACATGTACCCGTGCGAGATCGTCCTGAGAATCCTGCAACGTTTTGGCGCCGCAAAATTTCGTGTGGTCCTGCTTCGGAATTCGGCACAACGTCCGTGAAAGTCCGGTTCTTGTGACAGACCCGCGGCTTATTTTCGGCACAACGTGCCACGTCATGTGTGGACCGCAGGCGGAACCGCTGCGATTGGAGTCACCGTTTCTTCTGGCTCTGTAGCGGGCGTTCACACGATGGAGTGGCCGGGTTGTCCTAGTAGCAGTAGGTGCATTCTGCAGCGACGACATGATGTCGAAGCGCTTGGGTCGCGTAGTGACACCGACAGGAAGAGTGCCGGAAGCGCGTCGTTTTTGCTGGCAGCCTGCCAACGCCTACGAAAGCGTATCCTTAGACCAGGTACGCACATCGTCGTTCTAGCATGGCCAGAAAACCTTGTGTTCTGGGATTGTGTGGTCGCGTGACGACGCGCAGCCGTGCGCCTCCCGGTTGCCCACGTCCCTTCTCGCATCGTCGTTTGCGAGCAGTAGCTTTCTCAAGCGACCTCGCGTCACGCTTTCAGGGTACCAAGAAGTTCTGGTACGAGACGAACCGTGGTTTCGACAAGTTTGCGATCTTGGCGCACACGTGTGTTGTATGTGGGCCACGTGTGAATTCGAAAAACACCATGAGCATCACGTGTGAAATGGAGCGTCTTTTCCACAAACAACACGTATTTCACACACGACGAGAAACAGTACTAATAGGGAGGTAACGAGGATCGGCACGTCGCCGGTCACCGACTCCAAGAACGATCGCTTGTCTACTTTTGGGTCGACCAGCGGCTTCCGCTCGGCTTGCCCGCGCGTCTTCGTGTCCACACTTGAATTTTCCAGTCGCAAACCATTTGCTCAAGTTCGACCAGCCGCCAACCGTTCGGTTAGAAAGAGCCTGGCGATGGTACGTGACTCACGCTCGGAGCTCGCCATTTCACAAGGCGTCTCGGCCTCCGCCGGTACGACGCGGCCACGCCGACGACGACGAGGCTCATGCGGTTACGTGTATTAGCATCAACATGTACGACTCGTTCAACTCGCCCCGGAACAACGCAGGCGGTCTCATGGACCAAGGCCAGTACGAGACGCTACTGAGCGAAGTGTCCAAGGCGGTCGGGCAGTTCAATGGCATCATCCGCTCGATCGACCAAAAGGTACTTCGCCCTTTCTGCATCGTCGTCATCGATGTTCGCGGTAGGTCTCGCTCTATGGCACGTCGCTGGACTCGCGCGCCAACCACGAGAAGCTCACGGAGCTCGTCGACAAGGGCAACAAGCTCGTGGGCAAGATCCAGAAGCGGCTCAAGCTGCTCACGGACGACGTCAAGAACAAGAGCGGCCCGAAAGCCAAGGCCCGTGCGACGGCCGTGAAGAAGCTCTCGTCCGACTTCAAGTCGCAGCTCGAGCTCTTCCAGAAGAGCTGCGAGACGGTCGTCGCGGCCGAGACGCAGGCCGTCGACAACATTCGCCGGTCGTCGTCCTCGTTTGTGCAGCCCAAGGGCGAGACGAACGGCAACAACTTCTTCAACTACAACGAAGACCAGATTTATGCCCAAGCCCATGTGACGACGTACGACGAGGACGATATGATGCGCCGCGAAGAAGACATTATTCACATCAACCACCAGCTCAAGGAGATCAACGCCGCGTACAAGGAGATTGACGGCCTCGTTCAGGACCAAGGCGAAGTCATTGGTAGGACGAGTCTTCTGGGCGAAAGATGATGATGCGGATGACGATGCTAGTTGAGATCACCGACAACATTGACAACGCCCACGAAAACGCCGAAGAGGGCTTGAACCAGGTCAAGCAAGCCGACATGCGGAAATCCTACTGCGTCTGCACGAAGCGCAAGATGATCTGCTACGGCGTGCTCGGCCTCATCCTTGTGCTACTCGTCCTCACGCTGGTCCTCGCGCTCGGCAAGACTAGTTAAATTCATCTCGGCTTGCGCTCATGTACCCACATTTTCACATTTTTCGTCGTGTTGGCTGATATTTCACTCACATTTCGCAGGATATATCAGTGGCGACACGTAGACAACATTGCCGCTGATATGTACACTTTTGTCTCGTACATATTGTCATGCCTCCTCTTCCTGGTGACGCACGGTTGCAGTTGACGGTTGCAGTTCGCGCCTTTTGTACCGGTGACGGTAGCAGGATGATAAGAAGCCATCCGACAGAAAAGAGAGAAGACGCTTGCCCCAAGTCAAAGCAGTAAGGTCGACGTCAGCACGCACGAGCGATGCATGTCTTTATCCGTGGCATGGCCCACGCGTGACTGCGTTTGCGGGAGCTCGGACATGCCGAAAATAAAATCTGGTCGCGGCACATGCCGCGTCTTGGGCGGTCGCGCGTCTCTGTTAGTGTACCTGAAGAGCAGCTTTGATTGGTCCAAAACATCGCAGGCGGCGACGTTTGATTGGCCATCGCACCCAACCTACTTCGAAGTTCGGCGCAACTGCCTGCGTGCGAGAGAAAACTTGGTTTTTGTAGGCGAGGATGCTCGAAGCGAAGGTGGGAGCGAAATATCGAAGGATTCGGAGCGTATTTTATTTAAATACCATAATAAAAAGGTGGCCGAGATCCAAGACCGGCAGCAGCAGCAGCATGGCAGGTACGCCGACGCGCCGACGCCATCGGAAGACAGCGGTCGCTATCGCCGTGTCTGTCTAGTGACAGAGCAATGTGTAGTGTACAGCTGGGGGCGCGGCGAAGACGGCCAGCTCGGGCTCGGCGATACCAGCGACCAGTACCGGCCCGTGCTGGTCGAAGCGCTCCGCGACAAGTGCGTCGTCCAGATCGCGTGCGGCAGCGGCCATACCGTCGTGCTCGATGAAAATGGCGATGTGTATACGTGGGGCCGCGGCGACGATGGGCGGCTGGGCCATGGCGACAACGGATGGAAGTTTGTGCCACGGTTGGTCGAAGCGCTGCACGGAAAGCGCATCAAGCAAGTCACATGCGGCAGCTACCACACAGCCGCCGTGACCGTCACAGGTGAGCTCTATACATGGGGCGGCGGCATGTACGGCAAGCTCGGCCACGGCAACGAGAGCGGGCACTCGGTGCCGTACCTCGTCGATACGCTCTCGAACCACAAGGTCGACCAGGTCGCTTGCGGGTCGCGCCACACCGTCGTGCTCCTTGAAAACCGCGACGTGTACACATGGGGCGACAAGGAGAACGGCGTGAGCGGCCACGGCGACACGGACGGCCATCAATACCTGCCCTGCGCGGTCGACGAGCTCAAGGACAAGTCCATCATGCAGATTGCCGCCTGCGGGTTTCACACAGCAGCGCTCAGCGGTACCTATTCCTTCCATGTTGGAGATCGACACGCTTATATACCCGGCCGCCTAGACGAAGGCGAGCTGTACACGTTTGGCGAAGGCAAGTTTGGTCGGCTCGGGCACAATAGCGAGCGCAACCAGCTCGTCGCGCGCGTCGTCGAGACGCTGCATGGCAAGCGCATCAAGCAGGTCGCTTGCGGCGGCTTTCACACGGCCGCGGTCACCGGTAAACGTTGCATGTACATCGCTTGGTTGACCTGATATATGCATGGCCTAGACACGGGCGAGATCGTGCGAACTCTGCTGCGCCTGCAGGATCCATCACAGTGTCTACTCTAGTATACGTGGGGTGGCGGTGAGCACGGGCAACTCGGTCACGGCGACAAGGTCAACAAGACGATTCCGTCGCTCGTCAAGCACCTCGCCGACAAGGTTGTCGTGCAAATCACGTGTGGCTGGAGCCATACGGTCGCGTTGACGGGTGCGTTTGTGGACAATATTGTCTTCCTACAGCACGTGTAGAGAACGGCGAGGTCTATACGTGGGGCAATGGCGACCACGGCAAACTCGGTTCGTCCTCGCGCATGGAACCCTACCCCTCGGAGCGTTCATGTTGTAGGCCACAACGACCAAGTCAAAGTGACCTTGCCCAAGCTCGTCGATACGCTCCAGTCCAAGCGCGTCGTCTCGATCGCATCGTACAACGAGCACACGGTCGCCCTCGTCGGTACCCATCGTGTCGCCTTTGGAAATGTGTGGCGATTCTCGTCGACTTAGATCCTGTCGCGATGCTGCGGCCGTCGCTGCTCACCTCGTCGTACGCCGCCGACATGCGGTCGCTCATCGACCAGCCCGACTTTGCCGACGTCGTGTTTCTCGTCGACGGCCGGCGCGTGCACGCCCACCGCGCGATCTTGGCCGCGCGCTCGGACCACTTTAAGGCCATGTTTTGCTCGGGCATGCGCGAGGCGCGCGAACTTGAAGTGCACGTCGAGACGATTCGCGCCTCGGTGTTTTGCTCTTGCTCGAGTACATGTACAACGACGCAGTCGACGTACCGACGCCGGAACTGGCCATCGAGCTGTACGCGGCCGCCGACATGTATACGCTCGACCGACTCAAGGGCTTGTGCGAGCTCGTCGTCCAGAAAGGCCTCGCCGTCGAGAACGCTGGCGTCCTCTTGAGCGCGGCCGACGAGCTCCACGCGACCCGACTTCGCGACCTCTGCATGCATTTCATCGTTCGGCACTTCGACACCGTCACCAAGACGGAGGGCTTTCAACTACTGAGTCGCGACCTCATTCTGGAGACGCTCCAGAACCGATAAGCACGGGATCGACGCGTGCACCTAATCTACTATAATCTACGTTGCCGTCTCCCACAACATACGCCTTGCGATGATGTGCTGCCCAACATTCGGGTGGTGCGACCTCGCGCCGACATGGTTGGCGCCGTGCGCAGACGTCCTCATTGGTAGTGATACCATCATCATCCTCACCATCGCCGGTGCGAGCCGAGGAAGACAGCTAGAAGCGCACGCTGCAGAAACCAACTTGAAGCCACCGCCAAAGCGAGACGCGCGTCGACATTGGTCTTGCGTGCGATGATATGACCATGTGCTTGAACATCGCACGAGTCACTCGACGATGTGCCTGTTACCGCGGACCGAGACCTAACCACTACTGTCGCTACGACGCAACGCTTCCTACTCGTCGCCCTTCTTCTTGCGGCGGGGCGTCGACTTGGCCTGCTTCTGCAGCGCCAGCTTCTTGTTGATAAACTCGGTCGCAAACGCCGAGACCTTGGGCGTGGACCCAAGGTTGGCGGCCAGTGTCTCGCGGATCTCGCCAGAGTCGTCGAGCGTCGCGCAGTACTGGATGAGCGTGAGGTCGTCGCTTGCACCGAGCTTCTTGAGCTGCTTGCCGCACCACACC